GGACTCGTCCCTTATACAGTACCAACCCGTCGTGAAGTGACCAATTGGGGTCGGCCGTGCCGGTCTGGATCTTCTGCAGTAAGAGCGACCATTCCGGAGACTGTGGTGCTGCCTTCTTAATGTCGTCAAACAGAGAGATCCGAGGTTGGGAAATGCTACATAGAACCATCGCGTCTTCTTCTCGCCTAGACAAGGCATCAGCTGCGCGATTAGAGGATCCTGCCTTATATTCCACCCGGAAGTCAAACCGAGCAGTTTGCTAACCCAATGCTGCTGAGGGGAAGTGGTGAGACACTGTTCTAACAGGTATTTGAGGCTGTAATGATCAGTTTTGACGATGAACGACCGTCCCCACAAATACGGCCTCCAGTGCAGGATGGCTCAGGCAAGGCCGATTAGTTCGCGCTCATAGGCTGGAAGCTTCAGATGCCGGTCGGCCAATCTGCGGCTGAAGAAAGCGATCGGGTGCCCTTGCTGCTGTAGTACGGCCCCGATACCCACTTCGGAAGCATCGCACTCAACTGTTAATTCGAGGGCGAAATTAGGTAATTGCAGGACAGGGGTTGAAGACAATGCATTTCACAGTGACAGAAAAGCTTATCAGTTGCGTCGTCCCACCGGAAGGAGTTTATCTTCAACAGGTTGGTTAACGGGGCTGCCAACACTCCATAGTTCTGTACAAATTTGCGGTAGTAACCCGTTAAACCGAGGAACCCRCGTAAGGCCTTGGCGGATTGAGGTTTGGGCCATTCTGTTATAGCCTGAATCTTGGAACTATCAAYTGTTACACCCTGSCCATGGATGATGTGGCCGAGGTAAAGAACTTGTCGTTCCTCGAAGGAGCACTTGGACCGTTTCAAGAATAAGCTGTGTTGGTGTAGGAGTACGAAAACGGTCCTCAGATGGTGGACATGCTCTACCCATGAWTTGYTGTAAACGAGGATATCATCAAAGAAAACTAAAACAAATTTGCGCAGATGGGGCTGGAATACCTCGTTCATTAGTGCCTAAAATGTAGATGGTGCATTGGAGAGTCCGAATGGCATGACTAAAAATTCGAAGTGGCCATGGTGGGTGCGAAAAGCAGTCTTCTTCACATCACCGGGAGCCATGCGAACTTGGAAATATCCCGACCTGAGGTCCAACTTAGAGAAATACTGGGCACCATGCAACTCGTCCACAACGGGAATAGGGAACTTATCTTTGATCATCCGGTCATTGAGTTCTCTATAGTCAACACAGAACCTCCAYRTTCCATCCTGCTTCGCCACCAACAGAACCGGCGAAGAGAAGGGGGAGTGACTTTTGCGTATGATCCCTTGGT